CTCGCAAACTGCGAAACACACCCACGGAGCCAGACGAAACCATCGCAAAGTGCCTGGACGCAGCCACGAAGACAATTGAGGTCATATACGACATCTTCCGCATCCACACGTTCTTCCGCTGCTGGTACCCTTCATCCCCTGCCACCAGAACCAACCCCGGCAAACGATGGAGATCTAACGAGCACATTGTAACAGGTGGTACAACACAACTTACGTCATGTTCGCGACATTGACCCTTCTCCTCCCCATGTCCAAGCTGGGAATGTGTGCCGAGACAATCCCGCTATTACGGTCTGTCGACATGGCGGTCGAGATTTTAGAAGCGATGGACGAGTCCGTCGTCGCGAAAAAGTCCGTCGAGATCATCAGGCACTACCTGAAGGACTTCCGCAGCTCGGAACCTCGGCCCGCCCCTGCCAGCGACGGTGGCGATGATGCCAGTATCCACGCTTATGCAATGCATCAACAGGAGCAGCTGCTTGGCTTTGATATCCCGGTATGTTGGGACCTGGGGGGATCTTGATAGGCTTGGCTTTTGTTGGATACTAATCGTCAAATAGGACTGGGCCTACGGTTTTGGATTACCCGACTACTCGTTTGAAGGGATTACGAGGTTGTTCGATGATTTGGGTGGGCTTCCGATGTTGGATAGCTGATACTGTGCGCGGTTGTTGGATGGGGACGGCTGTATATATGATTAACTGTTGTTCATAATACACATATACACTGGCAAGGGACTATCATAAAAGTAATAGTATACTGCGAGTCTCTGATAAAAATTATCTAGCTCTACCAGAAGGAAAAAGGACTACATATTTGCAGGCGTCTTGGAGAACAATCCCGGTTGCTGCCTAACTGCATCCTCAACATCTTTGACCGTATCGTTGCCCATAAAACCAAGGCTGGACCTATGGGCATGTTCTGTATATGTAGGCAGCTGGTTGTCCCGCCAGAAGTAGAAAAGAAAGTTAGATACTCACCATCTACTAGGAAAGGCGCCCTTGATCTCCTAAGCTAAGACAAGAAGATCTCATCCCTCGTTTCCTGCTGTTTGCCACCTGGCTTGTGGAACCATGTTTCTAAAAGGAATATCAATACATTTTTAGTAGTAGGAATGAGAGTACAATTAAGCTGCGTAAAAGCCTCCTTAATAATGGCTTTGCTGTGGGTATTTCCGTAAGCTCTGATATAGGTGGAGGATATAGGGTAGATGGGTATTTTTTGTTATGTGGCTAAGTGGTTAACCTAGAACTGCACCATCTTTGGGAGATAAGTTAGTGCCCTATGCGAGGTAAGGGAGCATAGGATGGCAGGTATCAATGCTGTGCCGAGTGAATATCACAACAACTTCTACTGTATGACTGGTAAGTGTGTACGACACTGCTGCAACCAGACCACTGAGGCCAGCATGACAATGATAATGCAGAGATGGTCCTCTTAAGAGAGTCTCACCATTTGTCTGAGTTCAAAAGACATCACTGAAATGGTGGGAAGAGACAAAGCAACCGCGAAGAGGAAGTGACCTAAGAAAGAAGCAGCTCTCGTAATACTTTAATACTGTACAGTTCCATCAAGCAGCCCAGTAAGCATCTCCATCAACCCATCACCTGGTTGCTCAATTGCCAGGCCGTCCCTTTGAGGTAGTAGATGGCTGCACAGCCGTATGGGCTGCTCGGAAATACCGAGACTTGTTCATATGGACCGGAATTCCCTGTCCCTCGGCATAATTGCAGGGTAACGGACCGCTGGAAATTCCGGATCAGTTCCACGGTTTAAGAATGTAAACGCATCAACCATGCAGGGATTTTCGTGTTGTACGAAACATCAGTCAAGCCGATCGCTTACAACAACTGCGTCAAGTCTTTTATCTCGGGTCTACATCAGTTTCTGGCACAGGCACCTGTCATGGTTTAAAATCTTAATGAGAACCACTTATCGAGTAAACGAATCAAAAAGTCCGAATGTGGACCCGAAATGGACCCGACACACTTCTGCGTCCACGGCATATCCGGTTCTTTCAGCAAGCAACGGATATGACTGGCTTGTCGAGACATACCCTTGTCGAGGGGCAAGGTGGCGCATCTAGCTCCACTGTGTCGTCCACGGACAACCAATACCCCACGGGGAACATATTGCTGAAGACAAGTTGGGAGCGTTACTGAAGCTGGAAGTGGTCAGAAACAGCATAGCCGAGAAGCAGGCTGTTGCCGAAAGGACGAGATATATGTTCGTGCTCTCCCTTGGGCTGCACTCTCAGTCTACGGTGTCCGGGCTCCCGCGGGACTACATCTTCTCACTGACATCACAACATACATCCTTGTCATATTGATGGACTCCGGCTGTCCAGTGAACAACACCATGGCGGAATCAAAGATCGATCCCAGGGTATGCGATCGCTCTAGCCGCCATTTGCCTATCCTGTGAGGGCCATGATGATGACTGAATTCAACAGATCTTCCCTCGGCGGGTGACATATCCCGCCCTGCTCACTGTCAACATGTTTGTCTTCATGGGCAATATGTACTCGGTACGTACAGACGACTCGAGTCTTCCCCGACAATCAAGCACTGACGATATTGGTACAGTCTGGGATAGCCACTGGTTTCGAGAGCTTAGCAAAGGACCTTCACCTTCCCTTTGCAAAACTGTCTGACCTAATTAGCTACTCCGTGCTGGCCATGGGTTTAGCAAACATTTTCTGGATGCCTCTGGCGCTGTGTTTTGGCAAGCGTAATATTGTCCTCATCTCTATGGCGATGTTTGTGACCGGTATTATCTGGACATGTGTCGCCAAAAACTACAATAGCCTCATGGGAGCACGTGTTCTTGCCAGTTTTGGTATGTCTTTTTCGGTCTTGATGATCACGCATCCGCTGATTATATTAGGATATGGTTCGATCGAGTCCTTGGGACCCAGTATTCTCGCAGGTACGTTTGCATAAGTATGACACTAGATCAAGCATCATCTAACGTGCCCTAACAGACCTATTCTACGAACGCAACTATGCCAGTGCGATGGCTACCTACGCTTTCTTTCTCTCGGGCGGATCGCAGATTGGACCCGTGATTGCCGGCTACCTGGTTGCATCGAAAGGCTGGCGCTGGTTCTTCTACCTGTGTTTGATCCTTGCTGCGGTTAACTTCGGGACGACCTTTTTCCTGTTGCCGGAAACCCTTTATGAGGCCGAGACTGCGACTGAGCCCGAACCTCAGGGGGATTTGGAGAAGGTCTCTCAGCGACACATTGCAACGCTATCTTCGCGGTCAAGCAGTGATTCATTTGGTTATGCGGCCTACTGGAAGGGATTGTTCAGGGTTGGTATCTCACAGGAGGCCCGTAAAGAGGGAGTTCTGAAATTCCTTGGCTACGCCTTTGCCCTGCCGCTACCGATGATCCTGATACCCGGAGTCTTACTCGCCTCAATCATGTATGGTGTCATTCTCGGAGGGTAAGCCATTCAGTTTCCATACCAGGAAGTTGGAATCACCGCGTACTGACGATATTAGGGCTGTCTCCATCTCAACTCTCTGCCCATCCCTTCTCTCGCCGTCTCCCTACCTCTTCACGTCGGCCGATCTCGGTCTCTTCACCCTTAGCAGCTTTATCGGCACCGTCATTGCCTTCCCCATCGCCGGCCCTCTCACCGATTACCTCTCGCAGTGGCTGCGCGGCCGCAACAATAACATCCACAAACCGGAGCACCGCATCCCAGCCCTCCTTGTCCCATTTCTCCTCTGCCCCTTCGGCCTAATCATATTCGGCTACTCCGTCGCCCACCAGCGACACTACATCGGTCCCGCCGCAGGTGCAGCTCTGTCCGCTGCGTCCCTCACGCTCGTCCCCTCGGTCATGCTCTCGTATGTCGTGGACTCGTACCCGCGCACGAGCGGCGAGGCGCTGGTTCTGGTCAATGCGTCCAAGAACGTGGTTGCCTTTGGGCTGGCCAAGGGATCGTACTCGTGGATGGCGCGCGAGGGCGTCGGCAAGATGTTCTACGAGTTTGCGGGTATCCAGTGGGCGGTGATTGCGTTGGCGCTTCCCTTGTACTATGCCGGTCCTTGGATTCGGGCCAGAACACAGAAATTTGTGTAATGGGTTAGCCATGGAATGCGTAGGCCTATGATATTCTCTCTTTTGCGCAGTGGAAGAACTTACTTCGTACTTTAACCTGCGTTCCCCATTAATGCAGTATTTCCTATAACACTAAAGTGATACTGAGAGGACTCTGCCGCGTTTCCGCGTAGTGCACTACCGTTAAAAGAGGAGAAAATATGGCATCCCAGAAGATGGTCAGACAACCGCCACGAGAGATTAGACTTTTTGTGGTGGTTCATGTGGAGGGTCTCGGGCAGGGATAGTGGACATAGGATGATAGGAATTGTCACGATAAATGTTTGCGTCGCAAGCCAGCACAGCATTCACCAAAAACCTTGCTTGACGCAAGCTCCATGAAGTAATCAACTTGCTCCGCTCATCGGTATGTACAATGATTCTATTGCAATCATCAATCTTGAACATGACACTGAACACGTATGGGCTATTTTGCTATACACGAGAACATCAAGGACTATATAACACGGTCATCACAGAAACAGAATTACACGGCCGATTTCTCCTACCTCATCCTTGCCATTAATCTCCTCCACGGCGAGAATCAACGGCCTCAGAGTCTGCCCGTAGTCGCCCCCATTTGGCGTCCACATGTCCCTTGGCCAGCAATGTAGTTCTAACGGCGGATGGTCGAAACCCCATTTTACCGTTCATGATAGGACCGTGAAACCTCAACGGCGCAGCGCAGCATGTTTTCTCGGTTTTGTAACTCATAAACACAACTAGCCCTCCGGCAATCCTTCCGTCTCCGACCGCCCTGCCCGGAATTCCCGAATTCCTGAGTCTGGAGCTTTGCTGACAGCTATTAAACCGCCCCTCCTCAGCCGTTATCCGTTAACCCTGCCAGTGATACCTGTAGCTCATAACTCGAACCAATACTATATCAACCATGTCTATCGGAAAACCTTTAACGACCTTGTACAAAGAGGTCCACGGCAGCAAGATAACGACGGACATCTACCTTCCCATGTCGGGTTCGGCAACTCCGCAGAAATATCCTGTCGGTGAGTACCGTTCAATACCAGTTGAGTTTAGGGTCATATAGCGGTTGTAAATTATGTTTGAAGGAATGCTGACTGGTAAAGTAATCAACATTCACGGCGGCGCCTTCATGCTCGGCCACTCACGCATGGTCTCTATCCCCCAGGTCAACGACTGCCTCGACCGGGGCTGGATCGTGCTCGTTCCGAATCACCGGTTGTGTCCGGGTGTAAACCTGCTGGAGGGCCCGATGCAGGATGTCCGGGATTTGCTGGCGTGGATACATGCCGGGCACCTAGACACCTTTTTGGCAGAGCATGGACCGTACCGTGCGGACTTGGAGAACGTTGCTGCGTTTGGGACGTCGTCTGGAGGGCATCTGGCGTTGAGCTTGGTATGTTCCTTTCAACTTCCCTGATATACGGAGAATCTACGGATGGATATGCCGTGCATTCGATGTGTGCAACGCATTCTAAAGCTATATTGGGTCAGGAAGAAAAGAAGCAAGCTAACTTAAACAGGGCTTCAACACCCCAAAACCACCAAAAGCACTCCTCTCTCTCTACGGCGCAGTCAATTTCAGCGATCCGCTCTGGTCCAAACCACTCCCCCACGTTGGAGCTAAATTGCCCCCCAACCTGTCAACCGATTTCATCAGCAAAATCTACGCCGAAAAACCTGTGCCGACAGAGAGCTCCGTCTCGCTGGAAGGTCAAATCGAGTCCGGCGCATCCAAGGGTCCCAAATTCTCTCAACCGCGCGACGCATTCGCATTTACCCAGATCGCGGCCGGAACTGTACTTTCCGCAATCTACCCTGAGGGACAAAGCACTGATCCGGAGTACAGGCTGGTTGACCCGGCCCAGGCTGTTTCGAGTAATTTTCCGCCGACGTATATTGTGCACGGCACGGCGGATACGTTGCTGCCTATTGAATTGAGCCGTGAGTATTTTAAGAGGCTGAAAGAGGCAGGTGTAAAGTGTGGGATGACCGAGGTTCCTGGGGAGGAACATACATTTGCGGCGACGATGAAGGTTGGGTCACAGACTTGGTGGTTGCAGAGGGAAGGGTTTGATTTCCTCGAGGAGGTTATCGGGAAGGGGCCGAAATAGATGCGTATTGATTTCCATATGTTTCGGGATGGAGTATTATCCCACCATATCCAGGTCCCCTCTATTTTCGACCGACACGATTGCACAGAGTACAAAACGCTACTCATACTCACATTTTCTCCTTCCCATCCTATCCTCCCATTTCCCATTCCAATCATTAAGTCAACTGTCAATTTGATCGCCTCCAAAACACAGCCTCCTCTGCCTAATATTTTACCTGCTCCTCTTAATAGCATCTTATCAACCGATCCCCGTTGATAGCGAATCTATGGTAATCGCTAGTAAACGGTATGATTCGGGATGAATGAAGGTCTATTGAGAAGTCTCCGCGTATCTCTTTCGAAGGCCTTGAAGGCAATTCGTATACGTCTTCTTCTGCCGGTTCCGGCTGTTCTTCTGGTTCTAGGCTCATTCGATCAAGCATGCCGGAAAGGAGCTGTCTGCCAGGTGAATCGTCATGTTGGCGAATGGGAGATGTATCCCCGGTCAAATCTAACGGTTCTTCGTCGTTATTTTCGCTAGGCGTTTGAGGCCTCTGATTGGTTCGAATCGGAATTGCCGTATATGGACTATCTTCCCATGCTCCAGGGATTCGTTGTTGATCAATCGTTCGTGTAGGCGTATGGATTGATTCGTTGGATCGTGCTAGATTTGGTGATGGAGTCGGCTGGGGGGTAGGAAGATGACGTTCATGTCTTTCTGCCGCCTTCTCTGATTGGTCAGTTTGCTTACCGCTCTCGCTTATTTCCATGATATTCACCCCCGGGATCCAACGTCAACCTCATCTCTTGCCTCCGGGCCGCTTCCTTCATTCGGAATCAGCTCACTGCCTTCGTTTGGAATCAACTCATCGTCATATTCTATTGCTGGATGTTGGATCTCCATGTCAGGGATATCTGGCAGCTGCTGCAGGATTATCGGCTGTTGAGGCATTTTGATTTGCACTGAAAGAGTGTGGAATGGATGATCTGGATCGAACGTGATTTCTTCGATAAATTTGACGTCTCTCTCGTCTGTGACGGTATTCGCTTTTGGATCCCATATCTTCCATATATTGGACGCTGTGTAGCCGACGAGATAGCCTACCCAGGCTCGCGGCGCCATCTTATCCAGCTTTGGGATACCCTCGCGGCGTATATACGCCCTGCAGCCATAGACCCTTAGGTTGGCTAGATTTGGTTTCTTTCCATATAGCTTTTCATATGGTGTGATCCAAACTGGTGCTTCTGTTTCTGAGCTAACTTCTCTCTCATTAATATGATCTAGGCGTCGTTCCACTTCCTTCCGTGAATCACGATTCCGCCGTGGGCGTCGATTATCGATATAAACGGCCGCCTGGATTGCGTAATTCCATAGCTTGGAAGGCAGTCTTGCGCCTAGCAATAGTGATCTGGCCATAATGACGATGGCTTCGCCAGCGGATTCGATCTTGCCGTTTTGATCATGTGCATGCCTTACGGAATGTTCAATTCTGATACCTTTTGCAGCGCATTGGTCGATGTACCACGTGCTGAGCGTTCGTTCCTGATCTGAATAGAGGCATTGTGGCTTTGCCCCGTACTGGCGTTCGATCCATGTGAGATAGACGTCCATGTATTTCCTCAAATCTGACTTTGTATGGGTGGTATAGGCCGTATGCCAGCCAGTTGCATCGTCGAGGAAATGGATGATCCATTTATCGCCATTATCCGCGCTGTCTAGTGGTATAAGATCGAAACGCACGCGTTCAAATGCTTTGGTTGCCCTTTCCGGGGGCCTTCGTGATATTTGTCTCTTTGCCTTTGCTAGTAGGCATGTTTCGCAGTTCTGGATTGGGCAGGGAATGACCTCTATGCCCTCAGCAACATCCTCGAGACGGGAAACTGCTTCGTTATTAGTGTGTGCCAGCCTTTTATGCCATATCTCAGTGGTTGCCTTGTTCCGGAGAGGCATCATCGACTTCCTGACGTTGACGGCTGCTGAAAACACTGCTCTCTCCTTTTCCGAAATTGGATTATATTCGATGACGTCTAATCGGAATCGCTTCCTGGTGCGAATGATTGGATTGCCCTTCCGATCTTCAATGAGCTGCATGCGTTGGTTTTGGAAGTAGCCCTTCTCGTTGGCTAGGCCTATGGATACGATATTCGTGTGGCAACCTGGTATGTATGCCACTCGCGTCAATTCCAATATATGTATGCCGCCATTTGGGCTTTCCCCGCGGACCTCAGCTGTTCCATAGCCTATAATTGGTGCCTGTGAGTTGCCGAATCGAATGGCCTCTCCATCAACTGGATAGAAGTTGGATAGCCGGCTCCGATCGTTGCAGACATGTACGTCAGCTCCGGTATCTGCTATCCAGCTATCTCGCAGTTCAAACACAAGATCACTTCCGCCGGACAGGCAGGTATGGATATCCGGTGCTTCTTCCATTCTGATTGCTGCATGCTGATTGGTCCATTCATTAGGGGAATCATTGTTTGATTCCGCCTGCTCTGTTGGCGTTCGAATTACGCTCATGGCTGTTCGCGTAATTGACTGATTTGATTGGTCTGTTCGATTTGACTGACCGCCGTCAGCTTTCTGACTGGCTCGCTTAATTGCTCGCTCAATAGTTTGTCTTAACAACGTGTTTCCTTTCATCTTATTCTCAATCTGCTCGACTATCTTCGGATCTGGCTTCCAGTTGGATGGGCGGCTATCCGGAATAAGATAGTAGCATTCTCGATAACGATGTTTCTTGCCGCACAGGCAGTCTTGCAGCGGGCGATCTGAATGGCTTGTTGGCGATTGATCAGATTGTCCCTGGAAGGTGGCGAATGCATGGTTTGATAGCTGTCTTCCGCTGTATCTCGAGTCTGATTCGCCCACCTGGTGCCGGAACTCATTGATCTCACTATAGACGGAGAGTGTGCTATCTTCTCGCAGCTTCTGCCGTCTAATGGCTCCATAGGCTGGATCTATCTCTCTCACTGCGTCGATGAATTTGAGAGTAGCAGAATATCCAGTAAGATCCTTGAGCTCCATATCTTCACATTCGCTAATGACGTTCGTCCAATCATTTAGCCATTTATCAATGCTTTGATTATGTCTCTTTAGGCCTAGCTTGGTGTATCGAACGTTCAGATCCGATTGGCGCGTCATCTTATCTGGTTTCATCTTATCTCGCAGCTTGATGAGCGTTTGCCTCACCGTCTCTCGCTTCTTGATGATATGCCAGTGATTATGGCTGACCGTTGATTGGATCGCTTGCCATACTACGCTTAGGCCGTTTGCATCTTTGTCATACTTCCTCTCCTCACGATCGTAGTGCCTGGAGATCTCCTGCCAGGCAGATCGTTCGTCTGAGGTCATCTTGTCGATTGGCTTCGCTGGCTGCGGCATGATTGGTTCTACCGGCTTCTCAACGGCGATCGTTTGATCATCTGGATCAACGTATTTCCAGACCCGTTTCTGCTCAGCGAGCGTTTGGATGTATCCAGTCCATGCCCACCAATCGTCTGGCCGATCCAGAACGATTGGGACCCTCTGAGTGGGCATGGAATCAGTGGTGATCGAATAGTCGGGCATATCGGCTTGCTAGGGCGCTGAGATACCCGTTGCGAATGGCTTCACTCCCTTCCAAAGCGGTCGAGGCCTTGGAATGGGGTAGGCGTTGCCTCGTAGGTGTGGTATCCGATAGCAGTCGATCAAACCGGGCTCATAACTATCAACCGATCCCCGTTGATAGCGAATCTATGGTAATCGCTAGTAAACGGTATGATTCGGGATGAATGAAGGTCTGATTTCTGGCAATCTAGATATCTAACTAACTACTTATAATCGACTAAATGAAAACTCTGTAAAATCTCCTCAATCCGGCGAGTTGAATCCATGGTAGAATCCAGCGATCTGATTGGCCCAGCCAGAATTCGGCTAAATATCGATATCCGATACTCTCCGGATTCGATAGTGGTAAGATATGGCTGACACATCTCCTCCCTTATTACTACCTGCTGAGCCAAGCAAGCACTAGCACTAGACTAGCCCCATTCTCCATAATATGACTTATTCTAGATTAGACGTTTCCACAATCTTGTCCCTAGTCCACGAACGGCCCGCACAGCGACCGATCTTTTCCGCCCGTGATTGGTTGTTAGGATTCTCTGATGTTGCTTAAGTTTTCCTTCTCCACCTGCCAGCATTCTGCCATCCATGCTGTCTCGGCTGCTATTAGCATAGTATATGCCTGGATCACCTTGTAAAGGTTAATAGGAAGACATCAACCGGGGGGAGGGGCTCCCCCGGGGGACCAGGTTACCGCTATCTAGATAGACTAGACTATCTAGTTAGAGGAACAATATAGCCTTAGTAGGGAGTAGTACCCTAGTAAAACAAGTTAGGCTCAGAGGGAGATTAGGGTACTACCATAAGAATATGGTCATACGACCTGCATTCGTGCTACAAGTTTCATGTGAATATAGCATTATATGACTTACTAAACTTAGAGCTACAGTCTTGGGAAGCCAATATCAGACACTGACCCCGTGCCATTCGCACAGCAAATGTACATATAGCACTTATAGCAACATGGACATATCCCCCCTGTTTCTTCTCACCAGGCTTGCTCCTCAGAAAGTACAATTCTTCCTGGAGTGCCTTTCCAAAAGACACAATGAAAACATTTCACAACCAGTAACCTCTATTTATCCCGTAATGGGAAAATATAATGGCACAAGCCTGTAAGCAGGCCCGAGAGCACCAAACACCAAGATTGTCGGATATGTTTGTTTTCCACAATATATCTTCTTCAGCACGAACCAGGGAGTCGAATAGTTTAAAAGGAAAAGTGACTTGGAAAGGGAAGAGCTCAACCAAGAGGTATGCATTGTTGGCTAGGTGTTTGCACTGTCAGGAAGTTGCCGGAACCTAAACTACCAAATGCGGAAAACAAACCAGCGATTCTTTACGCCAAAGGATACTATAACCAAGAACAATCACTTGAAGGGCTTCCCTGAGCTTTTCTTCTTGACAGCAATACTCTGAAGGCGACTCAGTAACCGCAAACATAACTGGACGCTCTGATTGGGATATCAGAGCTAGATGTAACATTTCAGGGGAGGCTCACTTGAAAATTTACTCCCCGGAAAATGTACCAAGAATTCATAGATAGTCAATTTAGCTCTATAATTCAGAAACCTAATTTCCATGGTACGCGGAACTGGAAAATACCAGGAGCTCTCTGGACATTTTTGTATTCATGATTCTTCAGCCATGGAACCGATGGCTAGTCGATGACATCAAAAAGATACTTTAATTGTATAACGCAATGTTTGTGGAAATAAAGCCTCTCTGAAGTCTAGACTTGGATAAAGTTGATCGTCTCTGAATCCGTCTATATTATGAATTTGGCTTCATTTTTATTTGTACTTGTGACAACATCGAGCAAATCATCATGACGCCAGTACGCTAGAGTATGATGTGTAGACATCGTTGAACCAAAAAAAAAAAAAAAAAAAAAAAAAAAAAAGGAAAGAAAATAGCCGCTAAGATTTGGGGAACTGTATGCTTGATATGTCATAGACATGCAGCACTAAAGCCCAGAAGTTTTCGGGAAAGTGATTCGATCCAGCTAGGACCTATATAATAGAATAAAGATTTAGAACAAGATTCCCTGTCTATACCAGTACTTTTGTCTCTTAACATCCATGATACTGTTATCTTTTGAGGCAATCTCGAACCTCACAAACAAATAATCTTTTCCTCACCAGTATTGCCGAGAATCCGCATAACATCATGCCTGCTGCCAAACGTGTTGAAGACGGTCCATACGGTGGCCGTGGAGGTAGCTACTACAATGCCGAACATGGGCATCACAAAATCAAGAAAATTGACGCCTGGGGACGGAGCTATGCTGGCTTTGATGTCGTCAATGGATTCCAATTCACCTGGGATGATGGCCATAAAGGCCCGCTTGTTGGCCACCAGAACCCCAATATCTACAAACCTTTTGAGTTCGAAGACAATGAAAAGATAACTTCCATGACCATCCGCGCGGGGGACAATCAAGGCTTTGTCGACGCAATTGAGTTCGACACAAACAAGTCCCGCCACTATGAGGTTGGTGGAAAGGGAGGTAAACCGAACATGATTAAAGGAAAGCACCTTGGAAATGGAGAATGGATTGGAGCTGAAGGAAGGGACCCTACTCATGGTGCTGACGCAGTTGTGGATAGCATCAAGGTATTTTTCAATGACTGAAAAAGTTACGCTAGTTATGCATGACAGTCCCATTTTCGATCATATACAGGCTGCATAACTATGTTGTTCCTCAGATGTAGCAGCTGTCTTGACTCTGTTTTACAGTTTCTTGTGCCAAAATTTGGAGATGCCGAACTGCTTGCTGGTCACGTTATTAGTATCAAGTAGAGAAATTTGTTTGGTGGCTTGTGCCACGCAACATGCCATGGTACGGGTACCTACTGGTGTTCTAGGTTTTCCCCAGACCCCAGGTTAAGCCTGGCTAAGGCAGTACATGCGGTGTGGGTGCGCCTAAGGCATGGATACTTATCTTACATAGCTTAATAGAACGAGATTGGTAATGTCACTCTCCCTAATATGGCCTGCACGCATGGGGTTAAAACTATCTATAGACTAGAAATCCACCCCAAGTTTGAGAGAGGCCTGGTCCAATCCCATGCCCCACCTGTATGAAACCTTTAGGTTTCCCCTTAGAATTCATTAGGTAGAGACACCATTTCGTATCTCCTTCAAAGTCTTCTCCAATCGATTCAACCCGCTCCTCAGCATTGGTTCAGGATACGAAAATGTAATCCGGTACCATCCAGTCTGTCCATTCTCAGGGAAAAAGTTCCGTCCATCTGCGATATTAACCTTATTTGCACGGCATCTCTTTAGGAAGTCCTCCGGCTTAACAGTCGAGTTAGGAAGAACCCGGGCCCAAACAAAGAGTCCTGCATTTCTATCAACTTGTATCAGCGAGGGCGATTAGAAGAGTCTAGGGAGGAGAGCAAAACCAACCCTCGATCGAAATACTCGATGCTATTGTTCCGAAGCCACTCAGTGACAATGCCGTAGGCTTTTCCAAGGAGCTGCTTATTCTCGTTGAGGAAATCACGCGTCTTGTTCGTGTCCTCGAGGAGACGGCCCCACATGTCTTGGGCAAGGTAGGAGGGCCAGGAGAAAAGGCTAAAGCATTCCTCTTGTTAGCCATAATCTTGATTACAGGGAAGGACGTACTTACTTCACACCGTAAGCAGCTTGGATCAAATCTGCATTACGGGAATGCAGAACACCCAGTCGAAGCCCGCTTGCTCCAAAATCCTTGCTCATTCCATACATGACATGGACGAGCTTGGGATCGATAAAGCCATCCAGATTAAGGGAAAGAACCGAAGTAAAGCCTGTAGCATTACTCCGGGGGTTGGTGAAGACGGAGTTCGCGTAGATCTCGTCGGAGATGAAGTGGATTTTATGTTTACCGCAGAAGCGTGCGATCGCGATTAATGCCTCTTTGGACTAGAGTAATGTAAGCAATCGAAGACCTTCAATCTTGAGCGTGGAGAAATTGTGCTAACATAGCAGCGTCCGAGTGGATTATGCGGGCTGTGAAGCTCACGTCAGTCATCCAATTCAAATTCTAAGAAAGTTAGTGACATACTTCGCAATAACTACACCTCGAATAGTAGTCTTATTTTCTGACTCTGTATAATTTTTCCAAGTCCGTTCCAGTGAATTCGTGATTGCCGTCGCATTGAATACCTCGTCCAAACTGTAGGTCTGATTATCCCACATAAAAGACGCAGGTAGCAGCTTGCCTTGGCTCCGCAGTCGCATATCCGTCGGAAAGCCGTTATATAAAGGTTGAGGAACAACGATCCTCTCATTATCGCGGCACGTGCACCATGCGATTGAGTCAATTAAAGCAGTAACGCCTGATGCAATGATGATCTCACTTTCATTGACCGGCTGATGCGGATGGAAATAGGTGTTAAAGAATTTTGCAAGAGCTCTACGAAGAAGGGGGGAACCAGCAGCTCCCTGGCCGTAGGTTAAATGGTAGAGAGGATCGATGATGAACTGTTATTGCAATCAATTAGTAAGTGAACGATATAGGGAGAAAGAAAGAAATCTAACATCTGCCGTGAGATGTTCTTTAAGTTTGTCTTGCATCAGCCAGGTTTCGGCGAGACCTAAATTGATACTTTCATTACAGCCTTAGGGATTGGTCTTCGTGTGTAGGAACAGATGACGCACATTCCATTGGGAAATTTTCTCCCATCATATGGCTTGGAGAGAACATCCCTGCTAAGATTTTTCCAACCCTGATTATCGAATATTGCATTTTCTGCCCGAGGCGATAAAGAGTTTGCCTGAAGGAACTCGATAGCTCCAGTATGCGAGAAGCATAATAAGAGAGTAATAGACAGATGATACAGTATCCACATTATGGTAAAGCTCAGGAAAAGCGGCGGTGTCGTTAGTGAATTCCTAATTCTTCGCTCAGATGTAGAGTACTTTGAGGCGGCAGAACTGTGATATATACCAGCTTTTCTATAGATTATAGTTTTGCGCATCTGTTCGATGACCATCAGTGTTACATTGCAAACCTACATGCAACACCGATACTTTATTAGGCAGTCATACTAAGCTATCATCATTCGCTTATTAATGACTGTATTTGGATCCACAAGCCTGCATTCGGCACGCCATTACGCACATTTGTGCCTGATGAATATTCTCAGATAGCAACTGGAAAACCACATGAGGTTACACAAAATCCTAGATGCCATATACAGGACTGCTTCCTCCATGGGACCCGGGACCGTTCGGCTTGACCACCCGCCTGCACACGTATGGAAAAACGATCCACAACACTAGTAATGGTGTAGTGCGCGGAGTCCACAGTTCCCACACCAATTATGGTGGACTGCAATGCCACTGGAGCACAGAGTCTACATCTACTCCAGAGTCTATAGCCCCACCTTAGCAGAGTCTATATCTGTGGCACACCCTGGGATCCGTCTCTGCTGTTCCCTGCTAGTCAACTACTTTGGGGATGGGGTGATATAGTGCCTGGACTATATCTGATACTTGCCTAAGGCCTACTTCCCGTGGAAGGCTATTGCTATCGTAGAAGTCGATACTGTACGCATTCGGCATGACATGCGGCACACCCGCTTTCGCGGCCGCTTTAATCAGTGTGCTCTGTGTATCCGGGGCTGCAGCAAGGGACATAGTAATAACGAGGAAATCCTGTCCCTGCAGAGCTGAGACGAGGGAGCTTTCATCATCATAATCAACAGTGACTGTTTTAACACCGTCTGGAAATTTCCGGAAGCTGCCAGTTCGGTTAATAGCTGTGACCACATGCTTTCCACTTTTGACGATGTGTTTGGTGAAGATTTTGTCAATTTGCCCGCTCGCCTTGAGATCGCCAGCATCAAACACATCCCTTGGATATGCGAGTTGGGAAGAACGTACGCCGATGATAGCAATGGTGTTTATGTGGTTGACAAACCCCTCGGGCTGTTGCGCAGCGTACTGTTGTGTCATGATTGCAACCAGGTAATAGAATAACTGGTGTGAGAGATAGCATCGTCACCAGATCCGAAGCGACGGGGCGGCTTTTATACCCCAGAGTTTAGTAACTACCAGCCACATCTAGACAGAAAAGGGGAGTCTGGGTCTTTACGGACTGGGAAGTTAACGAAATGCTAAGTTAAAGAAAAAAAAAGTTAAGTGATGATAGAGAGACGCTCTAATCACTGGGAATTGCACTTGGTTGCATCATGGAGCTCTGCTGTTTAAGGAGAACTAGGGGATAAAGTAGCCTACTTAGGTGCAAGATGCTTTAAATAATTGTCTTAGGAATGCGTTATTGGAATGTTGCTTGTGTATAACCCTTCTCGGCCATGCCTCAAAATTTCGGACCTTTCGGTTTCTCCGCAGTCTGCCTCTCTGTTTGCATTTGTCAGATTCACTGGCGAACTTGCGGGGAACTGCGGGCTACGGTATATTCCCAATCCCACGCTCTTTTGCTTGTTCTCCTTGCATTTTACCCCAGACAGACCATGGGATCGTGTCAGCAATGTCGAGATGCCAAGCGCAAGTGTATTCCTGGCAAAGGCAGTGCTTAATCGGCTCCCTGTGACCGTTGTCTGCGCCATCATCTTCCGTGCTCACACTCCCAGGCCAACCGACTCAGGATACGGATTCTCAACGCCCGTCGGCTGAACAGTCAGTCATCGACAGAACCGCAGACTCGGGACAAGGGAGTAGATGGCTTCCTCGCGGACGATGGACCCGTTGCTGTGCTTGTCCATGAGTATCTATCCAAGATTCACGGTCGGCCACATAGCATTTTTCACGCCGCAACCCTGTGGAAGGACATTCGCGACTGGCAAGCCAGCAGAGCTTTGATTCTCGCGATCTGTGCAATGGGGGCCCACGTTTCGAATGAACCAAGTCTGCGGTCCCTGGCGCCTCTGCTCATGGCGGAGTCCAAACGCTTACTCCAGATAAATCCGGAGCATGTGTGCCTGGACAATATCCAAACTTGCATTCTAGTCGCAATCTATGCGTGGCGCATGCAAACCCTTCGTCAGAATTCCTATTCTTCCGTGAGCTTTTCCTGATCTAAATCACACATTCCTAGTTGTGTGTGGACGCCACCGTTCCCTGGATAGGTAGATACTCATGTTGAACGAGATGCTAGGAACGGCGAGTGCAATGATGCACTTGCTAGAATTACGTACGACACATAGCCATGATAACCCAGTCTCTCATGAGCTCCAAATCCGAATCTGGTGGATGCTTTTTGCTGCAGACAACTGGTGCTCTTCGAGCCTGGGCTTTCCCCGCCAAATGAGGGATTGGCCTCGACCGGCTCGGTTACCCATGGATGAGCACCTGTTTGCCGACATGACTCCGGATGAGCCTTGGCCTATGGGCCCACATGGCCATGCTCATCGAAGTGTTCAGCCCAATCCAGGAGCTCAACTGGCGCGCCGCTAACACCGAGGGGCTGCATCTAGACCAAATTAAACAAGACACAGATTGTCTTGCGCAGCAGTTGGATGACTGGCAAAGTAGACTACCGGGTGATGTCCAGTTGACCGAGTCAACCCTCATCGAACACAGCAAGCGGGGCACAGGGGGCACCTTTATCGGCCTCCATCTTGGCTTCCTCCATTACGCCACATTACTTTTTTTTACCAGTACCTTGATAGATGATCCACGCTGGCCACGCGTGCTCGGCAGTTTGCAGCTCGATGTAACTGCCCAAAGTCTCGTGGAGCCAACTGACAACGGACCCAAGACATAATGATTGAAATAAGTCATTTCACCGGTGTTAATGGACCCATTCGGAAGCATACCGTCCCAGTGTTCCCAATGGTTGTGGCACCCGTAGTAATGGGATATAACCACGATGGGCAGCGGTCTTCGAGCAGCGTCCGATAGGCCAGGGAGAGGTTGTCATTGTCGGTGAGGGCACGTAAAATGATAGGCGTACCGGCGAATCCGGTTGCGACACGGAGCTTTGCCTTGCGTACACGCGCCGCGAGCTGACGCCTCGCAGTGTCTAGCTGGTGCTTAGTGGATAAAGCTCCGAAAACAATCGCCAAGGAAGACGCCGTCTGGGAGTCGCCGACTATGAGGCCGGAATGTGTTATGTACCTGTCCTGGAAAAGGGCACAGAGACGCTGAGCTTTGCAGCTGTAGTGTGTACTCTCTGTCTTGCTCTCGAGGACCGATGCAATATCAGCCATGCGGGATGTGACATGCACGAGGTATGCATCTGCCACTAGGGCACCGCTTGCTCCGCCATCACCATGCTGGTCCGGTGGCGCCTGGGGATCGAGCCAGTCGCCTAATTGCCATAACTCGGGATCCCACAGTCAATCTTGGCCTCAACGGATCCCTTGGCTCAGCCAACAATATCCATAGAAGAATTATCACCACATCACCACACAAAGCCTAGGGAATGGATGGCCACACGTGGTCCAGAACATTGGGGACCGCCCACGGGGGAGCGCGTAGTGCTCTAATTGCTCGCAGACAACATCTTCCAACCATTCTGAAAGCATGCCAATACAGTCACACAGAAATGTTGCAGATGGGCCAAAGACCTGATCTCCTGTCCATCCCAAGCATTCGTCCCGTTGGGGGCAGTCCGTGGGAATTGACAAGAAGTTCCCACCCATGCTCTAGCAGGCATTCTAATGCAATTGATTTATGGCCATATTCGAACACTCGAACCGCCCCGTCCGCTTGAAATCAGTGTGGATTACGAGTGCACGAATGTTAGTCTGCCAGGACTGCTCCTTTTCAGGATCCCATCCCTCGACTTGCACAAATTGAAAGCCATGGAAGGTGTATCTCGGCGACCAATCAATCAACGGCCGCCCTGATGAGATGATAGTATCAACGGATTGTGCACCGCGAAGGGGTCTCGTGCCCAATTCCCACCTTCCAACACCTCTGCGTGGGTGAAGGTCACTTGCGTTCACCGGAAGCGTCATGGAATGTATGAGTAGCTTTCCGACCATATTCTGGCCAAAGTCGACAATCTTCCGGCCAGATGGGGTGGTGAATAATCTTTTGGGTGTCAGTTGATCCGTGATTGGTGCTGGAGGGGCGTTTGGCGCATATAATCGCTCACGGGCAAAAGCCAAAACGGAGACTGTCTCCCAGTCCGCGTCAATATAGAGAGGGCCATGTTTGTTCCAGTCGCCAACCTCGGCTCGCGCATCATAGATTTGGCCGTTGTAAATTTCGCTGCTCAAGATGGGACTCGGGTGGCACTTCCAGCTCTCGTCGGACACAATCTGGAATCGTTCAGCTGCGAAACCTCCTACCTCCATGACGGCTATGCGATCTCCATAGATATACCGCCTGCCACCACCAAAGCCCAAACGGCCCGCAAACTACCCTTCAGCAACTTCGATGCATAACACGTTATCGCCCTTGGTGGTGATTAAGGAGTCGACGTCAAACACTTGCTATGCAAGGCGATGATGGTAGCTTGTCCATCCGGGCGCCATTAAAATACGCCCAATAGACCCCAAAGCTGTGATATACAAGCGGGCGCGGTACACGGAGCCAGATGCGGAAGGCAAAACAAAGGCCTTTCGGAAGAACAAAGGCCTTAGTGGCTCTTGGGGCTCATGGGGGCTCATGGGGGCTCATCGCAACGGATGGGCTAGAGATCCGCATAGCAGTCCAATCCTGCGAACTGAGAAGGCTGCATTCAACCGTGGCCCAAGGTGACCATGCAGACCAATCCTAATGTGCGCACCCAGTTGCTCCATCCATCCAGCTTCCACGCACTCGAACTCGAACTCGCACCTGAGCTTGTTCTCAGAGCTGTAACGGCGTGCTCGGCCATGCCACTAAAGATGACTCTGCACTTTGGACAACGAGGTGTGCCGGCGGCCCAGTTTCACGTAGTACGGCATTCCCATACTGAGATTGTTTCCAGTCGCAGATAGACTCGTCAATAGCAGAGGATGTCCAGGATATACGAGGCGAGGAGCTGTGTACACCCAGCCCGGAAAGGTGGTGCTCAAAGCGCAGTGCAATAATTTACGCCGTTCTTGGCGATGTTCATCAGATTGCTTCGATTTCTCTCTTTCTGGTGGAAAGAAAAGAGGCGGTCAAAGTGTGTGAGAGAGAAAGTGGCAGGCCATCTTCTTGAGTCGTCTTGTCTCACTCGCGTACTCAACTCGCTGTCTATTATCCCGAGAAGTCGATCAAATATCTCGTCTACCTGGTCACATTTTGTCTTGTTGGACCATAGATAGTCTGATAGTCGAATAGCAGAAGTGAGATCACGAGAGCTGACGAGGGTTTATGAGTGACAGCGGAATCGTCGCGCTCTGATTGGCTCATTTTTTGCAGGCGTTCTCCCTGTATGCGCGTTCACAGCCGCGGTGATGCATTTGGCTTCTTTGAATCTACTGTCAAAGGAAATCGGCATGGCCGTTGCAGGCATCGTCAACGTCCTGAGCTATGCCTAGTTGTTCATTTGTCTCAGCAGATCTGCCTTGTTGCCAAATACGGGCAGCTGCCAGCCGTTTCACGGTGATTTCATCCATGGTGGGAGGTGTCAGCGCGAACTTTGGCCACATCGGAGCGCCTGGGCTGCTCATATGGTAGAATGGTTCAAATGTATCACGACTTTTCAGAAGGACATCGACCCACCACAATCAGGCATATCCCATACTCTCCACCCCATATTTCAATCCCTTCAAGACTTGGACGTTAAGGCCCTTTTTGGAGGCCAGGATATTTAGCAAGCCACATAGCCGAGACTCTTTTCAACTCTGACGCGCCCGGCGGCAACGCATGCATGGTGCTGGAAGTCAATACTCAGTTGGCTATGAGCAGCTCGCTGCAGACACTTATCTAGCCTGTAATTATAGCCTTTACCAGAACAAAGGCGTCCTATCAGGCGAACAAGCACGGACTGGTGGAGTGGCAGAGGGAGAACTCGGCTTCTACTGTCAAAAATGTCGCCTACGGAACCGCGGCAAGATGGATGCACCGCCCTTTAAGATCAGCCTGCACCGTGGCGTCGAACTCAAGCACTGATCACAAAGCTCAAGGCCTTAAACGCACGGTGTCGTCCTCATCACTATTATAGGGCTCACCTGGTGACTTTATCCTCACCAGGAACTATTCCTACTCTGGACATGGACTCTGCATTTCATGAAACAGCTGATGTTTTTCAAGAGAATCTGTGAGGAGTACGGCTTCCCCCAGATTCCTAAACCTCATCCCTGATACTGACATCAACATAACCACCAAGACCATGGTATCCAACGAACTGTATAAATAGATGAGCCCCTTTATGCTATCCTCGCTGCGTAAATTCGCTTGTGGACTAATCTTCTTTTCAATATCTTTGGCTACAATGTTATTGGTGTTCTTCCCAAATAAGATTGGCTATACTTAGCAACTTACTTGTTAAACCTTGATCAACTAAGATGATAGGACCTTTTATTGCTCTAGATTAATTGGGACGTCAGGGTATGAATGCCGGTATGATACAGAAAAATAGCATTAAGTGATCCTACTTTATATCGTTATCCCACTGAACCCACATCCGCCCCGCGCTTACGTGGTTTTGATATAGATTACCGCTTGCCCGATTGGGCCTATGGAAGGACCTTCCCGATCTCGATTAGATCGATTACACTCATTTATGGCTGATAATCGGTAGTTTACCCCTCTCTAGATGCCTGTATCCGCTGGTATAAAATCTAGCTAGTCAGACGATAGATTAGAAACAATCATACCTTCCAAACTTTATCATTGGTAGCCAAATTACTAGTGATAGTGAAATCCCATACAGTTCTGAGCTTTCTCACAGTTATGAGCCCGGATTGCCTCCTAGATTAGAGTTGCATAACCGAACCGCAAAAATCGAACCCGAACCTCACCGAACTCGCAGCGGTTTGGGTTCGGTTCCTAGCCTAGGGAATCGCACCGGTTTCGGTTTCCATAGGGTGGAACCGCTTCAAGTTCGGTTAAAACCGCCGGTTACGGTTTTTGCGGTTTTGCGAGTTAGGTTAACCAGCCCACAACCGTTTTACCTAGAAATTACTGAATTCTAGATATTTTTAATTGATATTAATATCACTAGATAGCCTGAATCAAAGGCTATCTAGTGATATAAATATTATTCAAAAATACCTAGTGGTTGCTGAGATATAAGGGAATTTCATCTCTGTCATAGGTTGGTATGAAAGTAGTGGTAGTTTATATATATATGCGACCGACTGTTGACAATAACCATATTTAAAAATGATTTTTTAACCACCACCCATTCAAACCTATAGATATTGAATTCATATTTTAGATCTAGATTAATATGATGATAATTACCATATATTTCATATAAAAATCATAATTTTATATAAGCATGCTTGATAGGGGCGTCAGAGGGGTCCCCGAAGGGGGGAATGGTAAGGGTTAAAACGGTTAAAATTAGCGGTTTAACCAACCCGAAACCAAACCGAATCTAACCATGGTTAGTTAGTATAGGCCTAGCTAGGCCTAGCTAGGCCTAGCAGCGGGTTTTGCAGTGAAAACCGCAACCGAATCGCATCGGGTCCGGGTTTGGTGCGAGTTCTAAATTTTGAACCCGAAACCGCAGCGGTTTGGTGCCAACTAGGCTTGAACCCGCCCGAACCCGCACCAAATGCAACTCTATCCTAGATGCACAGATTTGATCATTTTCAGCACCTCAAATCAACAGTTCCTATTTGCAAGAGCCCTATCTTGTGCTAAAGAGATATCTCAATATTAAACTGCCTGATTTAGAAAAGGTGAAGGTATATTAAATGCCGTTGTCACCCCTAACCTACTAGATATAGAATATTATACAGAACTGCTGCCCTAAGCCACCATGAAGGTACCCATCATGCTAAGCCAGCCCAATGATTAGTAGATATGGGATTCTCATATAATTAGCCTAGCTTAAACCCACAGAGTGCTTAATATACTCTAGGGAGAGAGACCTTACCTCATTCTACTAATTCAACTAATTCATCCAATTGTTCTAGCCAATCAGCTGGCGAAATTAGCCTTAGTAGAACCCCAAATAACAGAAGCAAGCTAATTAGATAGCTTATCAACAGCTACAGCCGCCCCGAAGGCTCCAGCGAAGCTAACTAAAAATAAATTAGCAGTATATACCAAAGAATTGGCAATCTATAAGGAAGACAGAGAGCAATATTAACTAGATTATCAAGGCCTTGCAGCTATCTAGACTATCATGGAGCAAATAGTAGCTAGAGAGCATCTTTAACAACTTACTAGCTAATTAGACAGCAAGGTTAACAGATATTAAAAGCTTAAGGACGATCTAAAGCCTTTAATAGAAACACAAATGAATAGAATCCAGGAAAGATATCAAAAGCTTATTAATAAGCTAGCTAATCAGAGTATATCAAGCTAGCTAAGTAATTAGCAAACAGTGCTGAGCATGTGTGCTAAGCTAGAAATAGTGTAATATACTAGATATATAGGAACCAGGACCTTCCTCATAGTATTAAAGAAGATCAAATTTCAATATGCTAGCATTTAATTAGATTATCTACTAGAGGATAGTAAACTTAATATCTTTAAAGAGATCTCCCATTATTAAAAACACTAGGAAAGCCTTAGTAAGAGAGAATAAACCAGCATCTTTATAACATTCAAGGGAGAATCCTTAGATAAAGTTAATTCTAATTCAACCAATCAGAATCACGGAAGCAATGGCTAGAATAATTAATAAGATCATAGCTAGAATGAACACTATAAGTAAGTAAGAGACAACTACCCCTACAGGGAGAAGCATCTCTTTAATAGATGCCTCTATCTTATTAAATCACTACACCCTAGCAATTAGAAGCTAGATCCATATATCTAGGCTACTTTTAATTATCTGCAAACACTGCCACATATGAAAGCTTTAATAGAAAGAGCTATTAAGAAAGGCAATAAGCAAGCTAATTAAAAAGAAGGATTAAAGTCACTACATACAGCCATAAGCATCTTAGGGACCACATCCAAAGTATTTATAAGCATAGGACGCGAATTATATGAGCTTTAAGATAGCTAGATTATTAATTCAGGAGCAGATATCCATATCTATAATAATTAATCCAGATTCCTATTATATGAGCTGGCAGACAATCATTAGGCCCATTTTAGCACTACTATAGTGCAAATCCTTGGATACAGCAGAATTAATATAAATGTAACTGGAATGAAGGGTCAGCCGTATATCTTAGAACTAAAGGGAGTAGCTTACATACTAGAATACTATATAAGCATCCTCTCAATGTTTTAAATCAAAAAGTAAGGATTTTATATAAATTAATGAACAAATATTATTAAGGATCACAAAGGAAGGCCTATTTACTAAACTAAAGAGAAATTTAATCTAGAAGTCATCAAATACAATCTAATTCTAGATGCAATGATCTTTATAATAAAGAGATATTCTACTAGGCCACACTAGTTAGAAGCAATGAGCAAGAGATGGCATCAATAGCTTACTCACCTTAGAGATGAGGCTATTTTATACCTCAAAGAGAGTATAATTAGTGCAAAAGTAATAAATTACTAACATTTAATCTGCAAGACATGTAGATTAGTAAAAGCAGGCTAGAAGATATCTCATACACCTAGAGAGAAGGCTACTAGACCATTCAAAATCATCTATTTTAACCTAATCAGCCTAACACCAGCCCATAATAGTGACTGTTAGATCACTCATTTTGTGTGTAAAGCAACTGGATATTATATTCTTTATATATATCTAGATAAGAAGTAGTTAAATAAGCTAATCTAGTAGTTTATTACCTAGGTATAGACATAATTCAGCATTAAGCTACAAAAGCTATTTTTAGATAATAAATAAACACTTAGAAATGAATATATCTATAAGATAGATACTAAAGGAATAGAAATATTGCATTCTACACTGTATATTAACGCGCAGAAGGGCTTTATTAAATAGGCTAGATAAATAATTATTGAAATGGCCTAAAGCATGCGAATTACTACTAGACTGCTAGAAAAGCTATAGCCACAGCTATTCCAAACTATAGTATA